TTAATTTCAGACCATCCTTTGTGGTTACTTTTGGTCTTGGAATTTGCAAAACCGCCATGCAGGCCTTCCCTGAACTAGTCAGGTTAGCATGTGGCCTTTTTTTCATACGTCCATAGTTCTATTTTTTTGAATTTTGTAGCAAATTGAGATTCCTTCAATGGAAAGGTTAACAAAAGTGGGGAGAAAGAATATTGCAGGTGAGGAAACTGGAAGCCTACACAGTCCCATGCTTCCCTTCCTGCCCCCTTCCATCCACCTAGCTGCCAGCACCAGGCACCTCACAGTGGGCATTGAGCCTCATGAGGTTCTGGTTCCTGGATTTGGTCAGCTGCTGACCTTGGCCCAGTGCCATCAGGGCCCATGGGACCCTTGCTACACCACCATTCAGCCTTAGCTATCTCTACCAACTGGATGATGGACAAGGACCCTCACCACCAGCCCTCCCCACAATCCCCACCTGGCTCCAGCCTCAGAGTCACAAAGATTGAAGCCTGGAATCTGGAACTCCAGCCCAAGCTGGGGTGGTCAACTTTCCTCTGGGCTTGTTTGCACTTTAGCCTGGCCACCCAGGAGCCAGGTTTCTGCCATCTGCAGGCACCTTAACCAAGTGATCATGGTCACCAGCAAATGTAAACACATCCAAACTGTGAACCCTGAGGAAAAAAAAAAAAGATAACTACTAAGAAGGGCTCCTGGTAGCTAACTGAGCTCAAATTTAAAAAAAAAAAAAAAAAAAAAAAAAAAAAAAAAAAAAAACCGGTCTAGCAGCCATTTCTGCACATGAGCCTGTCACACAATCTGCACTTCACAGAGAAGCGACCACTGAACTCCCTTCCTGCACTGTGTTTTTGCCATCTGAGCCAGGCTTTATGAAGGAGTTCTGAGAATCCTATTTCAACCAATAGGGCTGAGGCTTTCCCTGTCCAATTGGAGCTGTGCAGTTCCAACCAATCAGAGTTGCTCTATTCTAACCAATCAGGACTGCCTTTTGGACCAACCAAACTGCAAGGTTTAGAACAGCAGTTCTCAACCTGTGGGTCACGACCCCTTTGGGGGTCGCCTAAGACCATCAGAAAACACATATATAATTACATATTGTTTTGTGATTAATCACTATGCTTTAATTATGTTCAATTTGTAACAATGAAATTGGGGGTCACCACAACATGAGGAACTGTATTAAAGGGTTGAGGCATTAGGAAGGTTGAGAACCACTGGTTTAGAGAGTCCTTGCATGAGGACAGACCAATCAGGGACCAGGAGCAGGGACTTCTGTCCTTATAAGCCAACTCCCATCTGGCTCAGAGAACACACTTTCCCTTTTCATCAAAGACTGAAGACTTTCCCTGGCTGAGCAGAAACACTGGAGATGTCTTGCAGGCCACAGCAGAGCATCTTGCAGGACAGAGCAGAGCTGTCTAGTTGGAGAGGGCCCTGGCCCCAGAGCTGTTCTACAATTGTCACCACACCCCAAATTGGGAATTCCTGTTGGCATTGAATTAGCACCAATGACCATCGGTTGACAAAAATTGTCAAAAGATGGGGTGTCATGGGCAGTCTCTGCAGACCTGCCAGGACAAAACTTAAGGTCAGGCTGCATTCCTGAGCTGGTCATGTCTCCTCATAGATTTGCCTCTGCATCAGTCAGCTCCACACCTCTGGCCTCCACGCCAGCACATCTCAACTTGGCTGTCGTGGAGCCAGAGAGTAGGAGAAGCTCATCTGGGAAAAAGGGCATCTGAGAAAGGGATGGATGAATTCCCCATTCACCCAGGAGAAGAAGACCCACGTTGGGGAACTCAGGGACCAAATGCATCCGGTGGCAAGCAGAGAAGACTGGCTAAGCCATGCCAACATCAGGCTGAGGACTTCCTGGATGGTATGCCAAAAGTGCTTCTAGAAGGCATCAGATTCCTATGGTCCTGGTACCCTTCTAACAGGATAGGGGCCTCACTAAAAGGCACTAAATAAATGGAGGCTTGAGCAACATCAGCACTATATCCTTGATTCAAGGCATCAGGATATAGCCGTAGGCAGAAGAGGAAAGGTCCTAACTTCCTGGAGCTCTCCTGACAGGGAAACACATAAACCAGGGGTCCTCAAACTTTTTAAACAGGGGGCCAGTTCACTGTCCCTCAGACCGTTGGAGGGCCGGACTATAGTTTAAAAAAAAACTATGAACAAATTCCTATGCACACTGCACATATCTTATTTTGAAGTAAAAAAACAAAACGGGAACAAATACAATATTTGTATTTGCATGTGGCCCGCAGGCTGTAGTTTGAGGACCCCTGACATAAACCATCAAAATACATAGTATGTCAGACAGTGCTAACTGATATAAAGAGCAGGGAGCCAGGCAGAGAAAATGGCAAATTTAGATGGGATGCCCCTCCAAAAATCACTTTAGCAACAGTCTGCAGAATGTGATGGAGAGTGCAGTTGGGATATTTGGAAGAGGAGTTATTTAGGCAGAGGGGACAATGAGTGCAAAGGCCCTGGGGCAGGAGCTGTGCAGAAAATGTGGCCATAGCAGTGGCAGGGGCTTGATTAAATGAGGTGAAGGTGAGAGGGGTGCCAACAGCAGGAAGAGACCAGAGTGGGAGGACACTGTGGGCCTAGAGGGCCAGGCACACATCTTGTCCTCTTCCTGCTCTTTCCTAGCCTCAGGGCTCTGACGCCCATGTGCTCTGGGGACTGAGGGGCTGTCATAGTGCATATCGAAGCCTTGGTTTTCTCATCTGTCAAGTGAAGGTCACAATTATATCATTTTGCTAGGACTGCCATAACCAAGTACCACAAATGAGTGGCTTCAACAACAGTTCTGAAGTCCTGAAGTCTGAGATCAAGGTGACAGCAGGGCCATGCACGCTCTAATGGTGCCGGGAAAGATCTGTTCCAGGCTTTTCTCCCAGCTTCTGGTAATTTCTTGTTGTGTGGCAGCATAGTCATCGTCTTCATAGGGCGTTCTCCTGTGTGCATATCCAAATTTTCCATTTTTTATAAGGATATCAGTCATATTTGCTTAGGGCCCACCTTAATGGCCTCACTTTATCTTGATTACCTCTAATACGGTCCCATTCTGAGGTCCTGGGGTTAGGATTACAGCATATCTTTTGGGGGTCACAAAATTCAACCCCTAACAATCCCAAACACCTTGAGCTGCCTGTTCCTTGGGGGACCCAGGCTATTGGGGAGCCCTGGGCAGGCTAGACACAGAGGGGGCCATGACACAGGTGGGAAAGTTTTCCCTTGATGCCCACCCCTGGAGCAGAGGCGAATACCTTTGGAGGCTCTTCAGTGGCTCTGCCCCCAGCCCAGTGGTGCCCTACGAGGGTGGACATGCCTGGCTAGGGTGGATGCTGGTGTGGGCACTGGTCCATGCTGTGGGGCAGCCCGCTGAGGCAGATAAAGGGTGTTGGCACTAGCAGTGCCTGAGCTGGAAGCCTGGCTCCTCTGGCTCAGCCAGACCTTCAGGGGCTTGGGGCATGGGCTGTGTCACCTATGCAAGCCCCCGCCAAGCCTGGCTCTGCTCAAGCGCTGTTCTTCTGAGTTCACAGTGAGCCAGGGAGGGCATCAGACCCCTGAGGGCTGAGGAGGAAGGGATGAGCAGCCAAGTCGGGCCTGATGCGGGTCCACACCCCATAAGCTCTCATTTCTCTGCGAAGGCCAAGTTGGGGGTCGGCTACAGAGGCACAGGGAAGCCTGGGTCCTGGCATTGGACATGTGGGACCCCCTTATGCTTGGCCCCAATTGGGGATAGGAACTCCCAAGTGCTTGCCCCCAACCCTGGTCCTGGGGTTGAGACAGACTCCATTACCCTCTTACCTTGAAACCCACTCCACAGTCCACACCAAGTGCAGGTCTGACCACACTGCTCCCTCAGGGGGTCCTCGGGGGCTCCCCACTGAACCTGGATACATCCCTGGCTCCTCGGCCTCGCTCAGGAGGCCCTGTCACTGGCACCTACTATATCCCATATACACAGGCTCTCCCGCACCCGGGCATCAGCCCAAGAACTCGCATAGTGCTCAGGAGACCGTGCGCAAAGGAGAAAGTGGAAAGAGCACTGTATTAGCACCTGTGCCGCAGGAGCTCCTGCAGGCCGGAGAGCAGCCACCAACCCTGCGCATACAACAGCTCCATTTGTCCCCGTCACACAAGTTAAGCACATGGAATGGATGGACTCACCATAGCCTCAGCGTTTTATTGTCAACGTCTCACATTCAAGTACAGATTCCTGTGAAGTGTGATTCGCCTAAAGAGGAGGGATGGGCAGGGGCTGGCTGTGTCCCCTCGCCGAGATGGGCCTGCCCAGAACCCACGACCAGTGGGCAGGGAGGGCCTGACAGGCTGCTGGGTGCCCAGCACACGCAGGACTCCGGTCACGGGACAGCCCCATGCACACGGGACCACTGGATCCACCAACCAGACTGTGCTTCCGTTATGAGAGAAGGTTTTCCTTGGCTCTTCCTCATTCCTCATTCCAAATGTGGCCTGTCTGTCCTCCAAGAGCAGGTCTGGTTGTCAGGATCTGGACCATGTCCAGGAGAGAAGGGGACACTTCTAGACAAAGGTCTACTCCTGTTGTTTTTGATCA